GACCTCGGTCCTCAGCTCCCTTGTGTATAATAGGGACAAATAATGAAGTCTTCTCTGTAGGAATAAGGTGAAAATTGAATCAGACCCTCCGTGTGAAATCCTTAGCTCAGTGCCAGTACCCGTATGTGGTCTGTGGTTGTACGCATATGTCTCCACCCACCCAGCTATTGATGACCATGTACTATCTGTTTACTCATCTACCCATCCATTGATCTGCTTTTCATGTCTGTAATCCGTCCATTTACGTGTCTGCTGTCCGTTCTTCCATTTATCCACCCCCCCCCCCCCAGTCCACCTGCTTACCCTTCCTTTATCTATCTATCCTTCCAGCCATCTGTCTGTCTATCCACCACCCCCCAGTTCACCTGCTTACCCTTCCTTTATCTATCTATCCTTCCAGCCATCTGTCTGTCTATCCACCACCCCCCAGTTCACCTGTTTACCCTTTATCTATCTATCCTTCCAGCCATCTGTCTGTCTATCCACCCACCCCCCAGTTCACCTGCTTACCCTTCCTTTATCTATCTATCCTTCCAGCCATCTACAAACCAGGCAGTCTCCTTCCTGGCTACCACTGTCAGAGCCACTTCCTAAATGCTGCATTCACGTCATCAGGGCTCTGCTTAAAAGAGCATCTGCTAAAAACAGTTCACTTCCTTGGCCTTGGTCTGCGTGTGTGTGTGTGTGCGTGTGTGTGTGTGTGGTTATTCCAAATTCCTAGCTCAAGCCTTTGTTATAGCACTGCCCTGCATACGTTTGGCACTTCCTGCTTCGTGTCATTAAGGCTTTGTGTCTGTCGATCTTTTTAATTTAATGAGACGAAAAGGCCTGGAACCCTAAAGTCTAATAAATACTGTGAAACAACCAGAAAAGTCTTACACAAAGTAGCTCCTTGACTGAGTGACTTTTCACACAACCTGTGGTGGGGCATAGTCAAAGCTTGAGCAGTGCTCGGAGGCAGAAGCCCGGAGCCAGTTAGGCTGAAAGGTACTGCTTAATGTGCATCGCAGCTAGCAAAGCTCAGTCTTACGTGCAGAGCGTGCCTGTTAGGAAATTCCAGCCTGAATGCATAGTGCATGGAGTTGCGCTGGGGTGTTTTCCAAAACACGGGAAGCTCTCCGGAGCTGAGATGACGTGGTTGTGCTGACAGGCTTAGAGAAGACGGCTCAAATTCCTCACCTTCCTTTCCGGTTGGTGGAGGTCTGGAAATGGTCACCCAGGCTACTGACGACTGGACACGAATTTTATAAAAGACAGAGCTCGGAGATGCCGCTGCTGCTTCCAGACGTGGAGCAAGGGCCTGTTCGTGAATGAGCGTTATTTAGCAAAGCTGAAGGGGCTCGTTGAAACAATTGCAGATGCTAACACTCGTGTTTCCATAGAAACAATCCGTTTTATGTGAGGAGGTTTGGGAGTCTTGTTTATATTCCTCCTGGGCAGAAATAGTCTTTCTTTTTAAAAGCATTTACTTATTTATTTATCTATCTATCTATGCATCTGACAAGTGAGACGGGGGGGGGAGGGGGGGAGACAGACCCGCAGCAGGGCTGTGCCCACCCCCTCAGTTCAGCTGGCCCCGAAGCGTGGACTCACATGGTCCCTGAGCGCTCAGGGAGGTCTCTGGGTGTGAACCCAGAACCTTTCCACGGGGAACCTACTGTCCTGCCACGGTCCGGTCCCTGAGAAGTGTTCTGACTGGGTTCTTCCTCTCTTCTGTCAATCACTGAGAGCCCTCTACGAGGGCATCCCTGTCCACCCGCTGACTTAGAGGCCACCCTCAGATTCTTGCTGCCCAAGAAAGCACAGCTCGGTGCACGTGAGCCAGACCAAGCTCTGACGCAGGGTCAGATCTGCGCTTCCGGCCTCTGAAACTGACTCCACTCTTTTCCGAGTTACTGGCTTTTCACTGTGGTCTGTGGTTGTACCTGTGTCTTTAAGTAGTCAGGAGAGTAAACAGTGGTTTTCGTCGTTCTTTGCTGTGAGTCTCTGCTGTGGCGTGATAGTGGGACGGTCTGGGTAAATAACCTGGGAACGACACCGATACGGTCTCGGTTTGTACGCTGTTATAGCAAGACTCTGATTAAATTATTTATGCGGTGGCTTTATTTTATCACATATCTCTGCCACAAATTCAGCTTGACTAACACTGCAGAATATTTTTCATCTCTCACTAGCGACTTACAGTGTACAAATGGCCTATTTCCCCAGAACGAATAAATACAAGTAAGTCTCTCATCCCTACAACAGTCCCAGTTTCAGTTGTAACTACAAGACGACCTCAGAGGAAAACCCACCGCGTGCATTTCCAGCGTGCCCTGGCGGTGTGCGTCTGCATGTCATGAGGACGCGACCTGCGTCCTCTCCCGGGAACGATGCTAACACTCCTGTGTTTCTCTCCACAGTGAAGCCCACTGTCATCGATGTTGACATTTATGTTAACAGCATCGGCCCTGTGTCGTCAATAAATATGGTAAGAAGTTGTTTTATTTTCTCATCGGATGGCTGTGGCTTACGCTCTTCTGGATTTCTGTTTGCAGTTGACCATGCGGGTTTAAAACTGCATGGACTTGTGCATTGTGTTGCATTTACTGGTCATGTGAAGACTGAAGATGTTAAAAATGACCGAGACAGAAAGCTGTGGCTCTAGCATCGAGACGCTGAGCTGGTTAAGGACCCCCTTCCCCACTCCCGCATTGGCTGCGTGCGGACTTTCAGGTGGGATCGTTCGCCCTTACGCAGTCATTGGCTGTTTCTGACCTTGTTGATATTCGGGGTGAATAGAAACGTCAGATTTTTGACTTCCAGTTCTTTTTTTGGAGATCCAAGAGTGTTGCCTTGAGCATTTCTCAGGAATGGATTCAAGCTTCCTGAGAGTGAATGAGCCGCCCTTGTAAAGTGTTTGTTCTTTGCAGAAGGAGGTGTGGGGTCGCACGTGCGCGTTCCCCATGTGGGCTCTTCCCACTTGCAGGTGAATCCATCTCCTCGATGGGAGAAGGTAAAAGAAGCCTTCACCACGGCCCAGAAGAGCAGTGCTAGATGTTAAGCCTAGCCCGTTAGGGAGAAAGCCTCCTGCCCCAGCCTGCAGTCCGGTGCTGTCCCGGCGAGGAGGCTGTCACAGCTGCAGGCCTGGCAGGTGCAGCTCTGAGCGGTCAGGGACTCCCTCCCCCAGGCTTCCTGGCCTCCCCGCAGCAGGCCTGCTCCTGGGCACGGTCACGGGGAATGTGAGGCTGAGGGAGGGTCTCCTCGGGGCCGACTCTCAGTGTCTTCCTCTCGTCGGATGTTCTGTGGGTGGAAATAACCCCTCCAAACGCAGCAGCAGAATCACTGCTTTCTGTTGCCAGAATTTTAGTGTTGATCTTTTCTGTCGAGATGTGAGGGTCCCGGGGAGGGTAAATCTGTGTTTATGGGTGACTGACTCAAGGAAAACATCGCTGCCGTTCATCAGCTGGAGCGCAGAGGTGAAATGAGTAAGAACTCGTCACGCCACCTGTGGGCGCAGACGGCAGGGTTCGAGATCAGGCTGGGAGCGGGACCCCCGTCTCCTGAGGAGGGGCGTTCTGGTGACTACAGAGAGACTAATCGTTCTTAGTGGATCGGCTGGTTCCATCTTTTCTTTATTTTCGTTTTTTGTGATAATTACAAATTTAATGGACATACAGTGGGTGTGCATACTTACGGGGCACGGAGTGGGCTTGTGAGGTATGAATGAAGCATACAACGGTCCTTTCAGGGCAACACACACACCCACTCAGCCACCGTGCCCCTGTCTTGTCTGGCACTCTGTCTTCTTACCTGCTGTGGGCCTCAGACCTTGCACTTCCTGACCTCCGTAATTATGAGCGTAAATAAATGTCTGTCTGCTTTACGCACACACCCACGCTCAGCTATTCCCGCCAGCGACACAGAACAGCCTGAGACGGTGGGTCAGGCCCGTGCCGATGCGGGGGGCACAGACGGTGGGCACTGCTCTGGGGAAGCGAGCCCACAGACCCCAGGGGAGGGCGGTGGCCTTGCAGGTGCAGTGGTGACACAGCTCTCTGCACTGCTGGCCCCACGTGGGAAGGTCCCGGTTCGTGTCCCAGGGTCTCCTTACTGTTGCCTGTGATCCCAGCTGGCTGAGGCTGGAGGCGGGTGGCAGAGGGAGGACGCCGTGGGGTCTTCCTCTCTCTGCCTCGCCTAGGGACGAAATGTATAACGAAACTTAAAAATCAGTAAGTAAAAGACTTAGTGCTGAGCGACCCATAGGAGGTCCCAGCCTTCTCCCTGAAGGACGAGTGTGTCTAACTGGGCGCTGGGAACCCTATGCTGGGAAGTCGAGGTGACAAAGGGCCTCTTCTCACATTGCCCAGCGGTCAGAGAGCTCTGTCCCTCTGAGGCCAAATGCCACAGCTTCAGACGCGTGGGGGTAGCTTCAAAGTGACACTGTACAACGAAACAAAAGCACCCGGGGCCACGCAGTGGTGCGGCAGCAAAACGGGGCGCCCCGTGAGACTGCCCACGTGGAAGCGTCCTGGTTCAGGTCCAAAGACCTCTTCAAACAGTCCAGGCATGCACGTGTGTGCCCAGACCCGGGGGGCTGGGGCCGAGGGCGGATCACGGCCTGGTCGGGGCCCCGTGGGTGGCTCTCTGTCTGTCTGCCTCACTCATGGGGAAAGTCAAAGAATAAGCATGCAGTCCTTTTAACGAGACAACTGACAGTGTCATGTGGGTGGTGAATATTAAGTCAGCAATTAAGAAGAGAATATGAGAGCGACTTAATCAAATTAAAGAATATATTATGGGAACGCACAAATCAGAAATGTGTGCAGGGCTTAAGGATATAGATCTTCACTGGGGTTTTGACTAGAACGCTATATTTTTAGCTTTTTTTTTTTTTTTTACAGAAAAAGCCATTTAACAATCAATAAAACCAGGAAAATGCTGACTGCTCCCTCTGCCCTGCCTCCATTTTTCTGCTCTTTCTTGGCCTTGTTATTATGTGAAAACGGCAGTTTTAGTCGTTCCTGCTGCCAAGTGAGGGAGATTTGATAAATCGACTGCGATTGTCTGTCCATCCCGGATTCGTTCTTGCGTTCTTGTTAGCGAGGAGGTCCGGGGAGGTCCGGGGAGCTCTGGGTGAGGCCAGGAGTGTTCCCTGCCGTAGAGCTCGGGCACTCTGCCTTCGTCCTCACGCGGTAGCTGGTGTGCCGAGCGCCCCGTGGAAATGGTGCTCAGGGTGCTTCAGGACAGAGGATGCTGCTCACCGGTGAGCTCGTGTGTTTATTTTTGAGAGAATCCACTTTAAAGAGCGTTTCAGGAGCGGAAGGAGAAGGCTCGTGCTGTGACCCCTGCTCTGTGCTCGACCTCCAGGAGGTCACGGTGCCCGCAGCGGTGCACACACTGTGTGTTTGTGTCCAGAGAGCCGAGGCCATCGAGACCTAGAGGCAGGATTCCAGCTGCCACCGCATGGCGGGAGGCCCAGGCCTGATTCTCCAGTTGGGACTGAGGTGCGGTGGCCACGCGGCCCGGCCCACCCCCTGGGAACCTGGCTGAGAAGGGGCCTAGTGAGTGGGGGTAGTGTCAGGGTGGCTTTTCCATTACTTACTGATTAATTCGCTTGTTTAAAACTTCCTTTCATGACAGAGTGAATGGGAGAGAGGCAGACCAGAGCCTCTCGCTGCAATGACCCTTCTCCCGGCCTCCGGCCAGCCAGGGTCATAAGACCACAGGGCAGGACGATGGGCAGGACCACGGGCAGGACCACGGGCAGGACCACGGGCACTCCTGTTCAGGGTGACCCGGGACCACAGCCCATTCGATGGCCTCAGCCACCTGCTGTTCTTTTTTAAAAAATAAGTGACTAGGCCAGAAAGCGTGGAGAGTGCCTGCGTGCCTCTCCACACACACACACACACACACACACACACCAACACACACTCACACACACACTCATACACACACACCAACACACAGATTCACACACCAACACACACTCACACACACACACACTCACACACACACCAACACACACTCACACACACACTCATACACACACACCAACACACAGATTCACACACCAACACACACTCACACACACACACACTCACACACACACCAACACACACTCACACACACACTCATACACACACACCAACACACAGATTCACACACCAACACACACTCACACACACACACACTCACACACACACCAACACACACTCACACACACACTCATACACACACACCAACACACAGATTCACACACCAACACACACTCACACACACACACACTCACACACACACCAACACACACTCACACACACACTCATACACACACACCAACACACAGATTCACACACCAACACACACTCACACACACACACACTCACACACACACCAACACACACTCACACACACACTCATACACACACACCAACACACAGATTCACACACCAACACACACTCACACACACACACACTCACACACACACCAACACACACTCACACACACACTCATACACACACACCAACACACACACACACACCAACACACACAGATTCTCACACTCCAACACACACTCACACACACACACACACTCCAGGACAGACAAACAGGGACTGTCCTGCAAGGCCAACTTAACATAGACGATTTTTGTACCTTGACATCAACACACAGATTCACACACCAACACACACTCACACACACACACACTCACACACACACCAACACACACTCACACACACACCAACACACTCTCACACACACTCACACACATATACACACACACCAGTACACACATATACACACATACACACATACCAACACACACTCACCAACACACACACCAACACACACTCATACACATACACACCAACACACACCAACACACACATATATACACACACACACTCACCAACACACACTCACACACATATACACACTCATACACACTCACGCACACATATACACACTCACACACACCAACACACTCACACACATATACAGACACATATACACACACCAACACACACTCACACACCAACACACACACACACACACACACACTCACACACATATACACACATATACACACACTCACACACCAACACACACTCACACACATACACACACACCAACATACACACACACTGACACACACACACACCAACACACACACACCAACACACACTCACACACATATATACAGACACATATACACACACCAACACACACTCACACACCAACACACACACACACTCACACACACTCACACACACTCACACACATATACACACCAACATACACACACACCGACACACACACACACACCAACACACACACACCAACACACACTCACACACACCAACACACACACACACACACTCACACACACACACTTCCCCTGCTCTTAACGCCCCTGTGAACGTGTGCTGCTGCAGTCACAGTGAACCAAAGCACGTTCCCGTCACCTGGAGCCGCTCTGCCATGCC